GTCATATATATGAAATGCACTCATCATATTTCGTTTAGGATGATTAAGGGAATAGTAATTGAATTGTTCACACAATGATATGAGTAGATATGGCATGGTCCCGGCTAGAATGGACCACAGTTTTGACCTCGCCTAGATCTCATCAACAACCCTAGCAGGACTCGAGCCAAAACATTTTAGCGAATATATATATATTTTTTAAATAATAAATAATGCAGTTTAATGTTATAGTAAATACAACTTTGCTTCATCAACAGTCCCACCACATAATGTGATATGGGAAAATTCCTGGCTTTCCTTGATATTTGTGTCGTGGTTCGAGTCCCGCCGGGGGTGGTGATGCGACCCAGACGAGGTCTAAACTGCGGTCCACTCCAGCTGTGGTATAAATACCTTTTGGGAAAGCAAGGCCATGTGAAATTCATTGGAGACGTCATGTCTGCTCATAGTATTGTGGGAAAAATTCAACTACCCGTTGCCTTATCATCCGAAATGAAATATTATGAATACATCCGACAACTGCTCAAAGCTGGCAGTGCCACTCCAAGTAGTCTTTTCACCACAATCTTGAGCCAAAATGCCAACCAGATTCCATTCTCCGCATTCGTCTTGAGACCAATTTTCTTTTGTTTTTCATTAAAATTGAATATCTCAAAGAAGACAGCACTAAACTATGCAATCGCTCCGCTTTTGTGTGAGAGTAGACATTCGGTTTGCTGGCAAATTCACCTACTTTTCTGTTTGTTCAAGAAGGCGGATGGAAGGGATTCGAAAGTTCGCCCCACCAGCTACGCAAAAGGGGTTGCCTTGAAGCTGTGACTGGCGAATTTTGCAAAAAGAAGACCTCTGCTCACCGTCCGAGGGAACTGGATGTCTCCGTGCGAGCTTTCGTGCGTCATGTGATGAGCATCGTCAGGACCGGAAACCAATGTTGACTCACAATGAAAAAAAAAGCACCAACCAAATCATGAAATGCCTCATTCAAATCGCCAATTGAGGTATAGGAAATAAGTCAAATCTCAGTCGGCCAACCTTGTTGGTTTGGTGTTTTTTGCAGATTGTTCTGACTGTAACGATGTCGGTCACATGACGAATGAAAGCTCATCACTGAGTCGTCAGGCTCGTAGCACGGCGATCCGACGTCTTCTGTGCACAACTCAACAGTCACAGGGCCATGACGACTAATCCACTTTGGTTACCGGGTGCGGACAAGTCACGAATCCGCGCCATCCGCATTCTCGGACAAAATGAAGAGGTAGGCCATCATCATTCTTGCAAGGATTGTTCGAAACCCAGCGTCTTTTCACGTTGCTGGATGCGTTGCCTTGAAAGCGGCTAATTGTGCCGCATCTTCGTTTTTAGTGTCGTCAGCTCGGGTGGGACTCGCCGAGTTCGCCGACGCAAACGAAACGCCGATGGTACCTACGGCGACAGTGAATCGCATCACAGCGAGGACAGCGACGTCTTCGAGCAGGCGGGCAAGGCGATCGCGGCGAAGAAGGAGCGATTGGCCAAGGCGACGGCGAAGGCGAAGGCGACGGCGAAGACGTCGGACAAACTTGGCCGTCGAGGGGCGGGCGAAACGAGAACCGGTGAAGAGGGGCGAGGCAGAAGTCGACGGCATGGCGACCGTGAGCACGACTCGGCCAGTGAGCACTCTTACTACTCGGAGACGAGTGAGCACGGGACGCGACGAACAGTGCGTCGCAAGCGCATCCGAGACGAGCACGGAAATGTCGTGGGCTACGGTCGAGAAGAGTCGTACAGCAGCACAGAGGACAGTAGGTCAATTGCCCGTTACATGCATTCTCGTCTCTACATAAAATAGCAAATGTTACACATCCTTGCTTCGACCAAACAAACTGCGAAGATGATGCGAATAACATTTAGAGATCAATGGAGCCCCAAATATCAAGCAGTGAAGAGGATCATGTTAAAAGGTTGATCTTATTTTTCTGATCACGAGCCGCTTTCAATCTTTAAACAAACAGAAGCGACCGGACCAACTCATGGATCTCGGCAATCGGCTGGTGGATCAGGCTCGTATATGATAAGCATATAACTCCATATCTTTAGAGGTCAACGGAGCCCCAA